AGGTCTTACAAAGACAAGAATTTAATGTAATTTAGTGCAGCGCTAAAACTAAAAGCTCAGCAGTATCTGAACATCACGGGTCAGGGAGTCACTGCTGTTGAGTGAAATCGATGTGACTGAAGGTCTGTCATGTCGAGGCCTCCTGCCTCAGCAGGCTGATGCACAAAGCAGTGAGGTCAGTGCTTTTTCAGCATAAAGCAGCGGTGCAAAATAGTGTTTCAATGTCTTTAAGAGGGGAACAGGTCAGCAGTGAAACGGTTTTTTCTGCGAGCTGTACAACAAATCTACTGCAGAAGATTAGCAAAACCCCGGGTAGGATTGTGTAATTATGTGAAGCACCCTGCTCTGCACCAACCACATATTTCCCCAGGGAAAAATAAGATGTCATAAAATTACATGTAAATTGTAATAAAGCTCATAAAAAAATCCAAGTAGTCCTCAAAATGAAGCAGCGACTGGCGCCAGAGTTCACTGATTAATCCAGAGAAATAAACAGCTGACAAATGAAGGCAAAGCACTTTCAGATTTTATGACTCAAACAGTGTTTCTGCTGAGTTTTGCAGCTCTTTTAAAAACCGATCGACCAAAAACATCCTGTAAAGCCGCCCTGCTCACTGATCAGCAGCATCGCCCTCGCTGACCCCGTACAGCCAGACACATTAATGGCAGCGCCCATCCTCCTCGCAGGGTGACTTATGACTGCACTTAAATATAATAACTATCAGGTTTCATGTTTTTCTGACCAATCAATCACTACAGAGACGAACAGGAGCCAGCTTGGTGAAAGCATCGGCCATTTTCTTACTCAGCTGCACACTTTCACTATTCTTCATCCAAGATATAAGTGGTGCTTTTATCTGTATTTGGAAACCAATACTTACTTTGTTTAGTCGTAGAAACGTAATCAGTTTTACATCGATGATAAGTTTCTGTTTCTCCTAACAAAAGGCCTTCAAATGATGTCTTATTTACTTTAAATTAAAGATGAGCAGCATTGGTGTTTTCTTGGTATCAGAGGGCAGGTGCTGCTGCTGCGGCTGCTGCGGGCCGTCATCAATATTTTGTGGTTTCAGGTCGATATGATTCTGAGAAAAGGAGTCAGACGACCCTGAAACATTCAGAGTGATGCTTCCATCTTTTACTACATCCTTCTCTCTTAGCTTAGCTCTTAGCTAAACAGACAAAAATCAGGAATTTCTCAACTTTCAATAAACTGTATGTTATCTTATACTTTTTCCTATACTTTGGAAATCTCCGTGCACAATGGGCGAGGCTTAAAATGCCTGGATGCTGGATCTTTGGGTCATTGAGTGGCACTGCGTTAAAAGCAGACATTAATTCTGTGATGCATGCACAGCAGGGGCTCAGGTACACTCAGAAATCATTACCTGTGAGCACAGCTCAATCTGGGTTAATCTGTCATGTACAGAGAACGACACATCCAGAAACACTGCTGCCTTCTTTGGGTCGAAGCTCATTTAACATTTGAGGTAAAGCAAAACAATCCAAATGTGGAATTCTACTTGGAAAGCATGGATGCTGTGTCTGCAAACTAAAGACAAGAGAGACCATCCAGCCTGTTATCGGCAATCTTTGTCTGCATCTCTGACAGTATGGGGGTGCATTAGTGCCGATAAGGCACTGGCAGCTTGCCCCTTTGGAAAGGCACCATCGATGCTGAAAGGTATATACAGGTTTTAGAGCAACATGTATCCCTATTCATTTTTCCCCAGGGAAGCTCTTGGATATTTCAGGAAGACAAAACTAAATCTACATCAAATACAACAGCATGGCTCTCCGGTAAAAAAGTCAGAGGTTGAACGACCTTCACCAATGAAAACATTTGGAGCATCATAAAATGGAAAATAGGATAAAGACGACCCCGGACTGTTGAGCAGCTAGAATCCTGTGACGAGAACAGGACAGCAGCTGGTCAACTCAGTTCACAGATGTTCACAGATGTTCACAGACAGCAGAGGGGTAAACACAACCCTCTCTGAACATTTCTGAGACGTTGTGCTGCCATCAAATTCAAAATGATCGAATATTTTTCTTGATATGCTAAATTTTCTCAGTTTAAACCTTTGATATTTTTCTCCCTTCATGTGTGTTTTTGATATCTGCAAATCACTGTTTTTATTTACATTTTACACAGTGTCATTTTTTAGAAACCGGTTGCATTCAGTAAAAGGTGAGCACATTTATCAGTGAAGAAAGACACACATGAACCACAGCAACATGAAAAAGAAAAAAGTTGATTTAAATCACATCTGAAAACATTTTTATAAACTACTTCTTTGTTCATATGTGTCTTCTGGGCTTTTTGTTGTTTCACTAACTGCCTGATGTTATTGCAATGTTTGATATCTTTTATTTGTTAAGGAAAATGTGTATTTAGCATTTTGAATTCCTATTTTCTTGTTATTTTAACTCAGCTTCACTGTAAGTTTGTTCTTTCACTGCAGCTCTCGGGTGTAGACCTACTGAACCTGAAACTTGACATGGAGCCAAAAGTTTGAGGTTTTGAAGCAAACTGCAACTTTCATTATTACGCTGCTATTTCTGGGAATATCACTTTTGATGGTTTGACAAAGTACTTTGTAAACTCAGCTTCAAAGGGGCAGCATGAATAATTTCTATTACCTTAATCACTGCTTCTTTTGTGTGACCAAATTGTGTTATTATTTTATATAAATCTGTTGCTGCAATTGGAAATTTAAAGCAAATTGTTATTTTTCTTTAATTTTATTAAGATTAAAACTTTTATTTTAATTTTTTTTTTTATTATTTTGTGAATTACAGCTATTATTTAACTAAGAGTTCAACAGAGCCACTGACCCCATGGCCCAGGTCTATTAGACAAGTATAACAGAGAAGCTGATTGGTTGATTGGCAGTTGCTGACCCAACTGGACTGTTTAGAACCTGACAATATGCTCAGTGATGCAGAAGAAATCTCTGAATGTCTAAGCAGCCGAATCCTTTCTCTCCAAGACAAAAATCAGACCCATGATGTCATAAACCACCTGTAATCAGCCACCTGTGCGCACGCACACACACACACACCATGGTGAAAACTCCACATCACAGGTAAAGCATCTTATCACCCAGCGCCCCTTACCTCCTTTTATATTCATCCCGTTCTCTCTTCACTTTGGCCAGCACGTTGTACAGAGCCCTGATCTCCGGCGTGATGGTGTCGATCTGGACTCCAACGCCGTCCGGGTGCGTCCAGGAGACCCCGGGCCCCGTGACGCACGACTCCCTCCCGGTGCCAAAGCGGCGGGTGTGGTTGAAAGACCAGATCGTCCCGGGGAGGAAGCGAGGTGGCGGAGGAGGGGGAGGTGGGGGAGCGGTGGAGGTGTTTGTCCCGGTGTGCGTGGAGTACTTCTCGTTGATGTTGGTGATGGTTTTGGTTGGGTCCATGGGACTCAGAGCCGGGCTGATGGAGAAGCCGGAGGTGGTGAGGTTGGAGTTTGAATCCGTGCTCAGGTATTTGTTGTCAAACAGAGGAGGGGGGTTCAAGGTGGGGGAGAGGAGGCCTCCGGGCAGGTAGGCAGAATTGTTGGCGTTGAGGAGCGGGATGTAACCCGGCCTTGCAGGGATCGGCCCGATGAAGCCGGTCTGGACTCCTATGTCTTTAGTGAGGGGCTTCTGGTGTCCATCGCCCCCGCTGTTGCCCTCCAAAGCCTGCTGCAGCTGCTTCTCCAGCACCTTGTTCCTGCGCTCCAGCTCGTGCACTTTGGCCAGAAAGCAGCGGAAGCGCAGGTTCAGGGTCTTCAGCACGCTGATGTTGGAGCCCAGGTCGTTGCGCAGAGCCGTGGCCGCCGGGGGGACGCGGTGCAAGGGGCTGCCCAGGTGCAGGTAGGCGAGGCCCGACGGTGGCAGAGCGCCCAGGTCCAGCCCGGACAACCCATCAAGCCCGAACCTGCCGTGGTCCCCCAGGAAGTAGCCCGGGTCTGGGATGGCGGAATCTGTTTGGCTCGGCATTTGGGGAGGTTGCTGCTGCGGGGCCAGGAAACCGCTCTCCTCCAGGACCGGATTCATACTAGAGTAGGAAAATCTGAAGTGCTCGAAATCCGGCATGAACCCAGACTTTTATAGATTCACCCGGAGAGATAATTTAATATATTTATGATCCAAAAGTGGAACTTGGCCCAGCAGCCTCTTCTCGATTACACCCGATGATCCTCTTTATGCGGAGGAGCTGAGCGCTGAAAGTCAGAGGATGCGTTTTAAAATGATGCTTTAAGGGCCCAAAATGGCAGCAAAATGATCAAATCCAAAACGAGCACTGCAGTAAAGCTGTGCGCGCACAATGGAGCATAAAACTGGTAAAAGCAGACACACCACTGCACCCTGCAGCAGAATTACGGTAAACTTTTAGGCAGGACTAATTTCTAAAGCGAGATTAGAGCCGCGATGCGCACTACCAAAACATGATTTTTTTTTCTTAATTCAAGCACTGGAAGGAAAAAAAACCCATCACGCTAAATAAATATTACTTTGCATTTATGAACATTTATGCAACGTACCTACAGTCCGAGGTGTAAACGCAGACTGTGGCTCCAGGTAATCAGGTGAAGTCAGTGAATCAGCGGTGCGACACAGACCAGGAATAAACAAGCGAGTGACTGCGGCTGCAGCTTACCGTATTCATTCTGAAAGCAGGGCACCAAGACGTTTCAACTACAGTAATAACCGGACTAAAGGAGCATCTACTTAAACGTGAAATGAAGGGATTTTGGTATAAATGCCAACAACCGAAGTTTAGACCTCAATTAGCCAAATTCCTTAATAGTTTAACGAGCACAAATCTCCTGAGAGCGAGCCAGCGCCAATCTGTGCACTTGTTTAGAGATGACACTTTCATAGAAACTGGACAGTTCGACCAACTCCAGATGCATTAACGACCTTCCAGCAGTCAGACTACAAATGCATTTCAACTCTATGCAAAACCACTAAGGTAACATGGAGAAAAGCACATTGTAGAGGCAGCTCACATTCAGTTACATTCGGCTACACCAGGGTTTGTCAAACTAGACTCATTACACATGTCAGGTGTTTCATAGTCACAAAAGTGACTTTTACAGACTAGATGTCATCAAAGGGCTGGATTTGGATGAAAAAGCCAGTCAGGTGCAGCATTAGACCTGTCTATTCTAAACGTATACAATTTAAATTGCATATCACAATGTGCTTTAAATGCCTTATAGGGTCCAATTTAAGATCATAATCATGACCTATAGGGCCCTGCACGGTGTAGCTCCAACTTAAGTGATCTTCTTCCTTATCACCCCAGCAGGTCCCTGAGGTCTTGTAACCAGGGGTTGCTGGCTGTCCCGCATACAAGGTTAAAAACAAAAGGTGACAGAGTTTGTATCAGTGGCTCCCAGACTCTGGAACTCACTCGCTTTGAGTTTGAGATCTGTGGACTCAGTCATGTCTTTTAAAAAGCAGTTAAAAACCTGTTTAAACTCGCTTTTGGTTGATTTTAATGTCTGTTTTCTGCCTCTGTAAACCACTTTGTGATTTTATCTTGAAAGGTGCTATATAAATAAGATTTTATTATACCAGGGTTAATGCTGAAAGCTCTTACACCGAATGTAAACATGATCTGAAATAAGGCTTCAGATATCCTTCGAGTTTGCATAAGCAGCAAAGTTTCTCCCTGCTTCGTTTTTCCTTTTGGAAAAGAAACACATTTGTCATAAATTCTGTTCTTTATTTTCAAGTGCAAAGGAGCCACAAGCATAGTAACAATACTGCAAAGAATCTGTACGAACATCACTTCTGACAGAACAGGGGACGAGCCCATTTTAAGCAGGACAATACATTTTCTCTCCCCGTTGATCAGGTTCAGTTTGTCCTTTCTGCA